AGTAGATCAATTCATTGATGGGATCGTAATTTAATAACACTATTGGAAGGTGATGAAAACTTACGAGATGGGGCCTAGATGCAGAGAGATCATGGGGGTGTGCCTTGGGGACCCCTCTTGTCCCTAACCCCTCCCACTCAGCCCTCACAGTGTCTGACTCCTGAGGCACCTTTGCTCTGCCTCACCGCAGGCCTCAGAACAACAGAGCCCAGTGACTATGGACCAAAACCTCTCAAACGGTGAGCCAGAATAAATCTGTAATCCTGTAAGTTGTTTTTCTCAGGTATTTTGTTACCGCAACAGAAAACTGATCAGCACAATTATCATTTAATTAATGATATGGTTGACCATTGTCCTTTCAACTTACAATTTGCTGTTCGTCCCTTCTGATTTTTAAATTGCTTGTTCTTTTTTTGTGTTTAACTGATTTTTTTAGAATTTTCATTTTAATTTATCTATTGGCTTTTGACTTCCTTTTAGCATTGTTAGTGGTTGTTTTAGGAATTAAAGTTGAGTTTTTCATTTCATTGTGATTTCTCTTTCTCTCTTTTAGGAAACAGGGACTGTAGGTGAGGATGATGGCTTGTACTTGTGTGCCCAAAGGTCCTTATTCCAAGTTGCAGTGGTGTGGTTAAAACAGGCCTGGCCATAACAGGCCTCCACTGTGGTCCCATCCCTGCTGCACTTAGCGTGCATCACTCATTGGCTGAGTAATCCAAGCCCTCCGGTCTCAGATAGCCCCTCTTGGGTGAGGATTGCCAACCTATCTCATAGGCTGGCCTGCGATGGTGTGTGTGAAAGCTCTCTCTAAACTGTCAGAGGTGCTGACCCTGCTTCATGATCCAAAGTCACCAGGATTGCCACCCCAACAAAGCACTTCTTGCACCATCTCTAGGACTCTGTCCCTTGTCTCTCTGCTCACCTCATTCCCTCTAGTTATGCCGCTTATTTTTTGTGGAGATTCCAATAGACTCAGCTTTGGTGTTGAAGGTCCAGTCTCTGCAGAGGCTAGATTTTGCAGGGCATTCTGGGCCAAAGGAATAAGTTTGGAGTTTACTTTTAGCATACATTTAGAGGAATATGGCACAGACTCTGAAGACAGTTCAGCCTGGGTGGAGCTGTGCTGATGGGGTGCAAGGTGGAGGGATTGGTGGCTCGTAACAGCACCTCAGACCGGGGACCCATGCTACCTATGCTGCCGGGCTGCTACCTCATCCTTCTGTGAGGCTCCAAAGAGAGAGCAGTGGCAAAGGACAGGCGAGTGTCAACAGGTCACTAATGAGCTTTGTGGACAATAGCTGGAGTCCATGGGGTTTATCACCCAGTGTATATTCCTGCACTTTCAGCTGCTGTATACTAAGGAGAGCATTGTACCCATCAGGGTTTGAGGGCAGATGCTAATGAGCTCTTGCCAGTCTGTTTGGTAAGCTAAATACCCTCTTCATATTCTCCTGGCATTCCACACTCCGTCCACTCACTGTGTTCTCCAGGGTGCTTTCCCAGGCATTAGACAGCTGAGAAGTGGAGCTTTAGGATTCACTCAGCACATCTGTGCAGCTCTCAGTGTTGAGGGAAGTCTCCTGCTCTTCCTTTCGCTTTGCTTCCAGCCTGAGTCCTGGGCTTAGCAACTGATTTTAGAATGAGAAGGAAATAATGGTCCAGTCTCTCATCATTGCTTCTGTTCTCTGTGGCCCAGCATCTTCAGAAATCTGCCTTGTTGTTGTCCCTCCGACAGACACATCCAGCACAACACCCGCACCAGGTAGACCTGTGCTGGGGCAGTCGGCATGGAATGCCTGAGTAGAGGCATAGCTCGTCCTCATTCCTCACTCCTAAGCACTTCACTGAGGGATGTGTGTTCACAACGGCTGCACCTGTGGGTGACGCTTCGGAGGCTGGTCTGTGTGGTCACCTGGGTGTGCTGCTCCTCACTTGGGTCCCATCACCTCACATGCACAGTGTACCTCCATTCCCCATTGTAGCAACTCGGGTGCTCTCCGTGGCAAGGACGGAAAGCATAATTAATGTAAAAATGCTGCTATCAGCTAAGGGTTGGGGTGCACACCTCTCATCCCAGCACTAGGGAGGCTGAGATAGGAAGATCGCTGTGAGTTTGAGGCCAGCCTGAACTACATACCAAGACCTTATCTCATAAAACAAAAACAAAAAAAGCTGCTATCCACAGAGTCTGTTTCTAGTCTTGCTTTCTTAAATGTATAGTGGTGTATTTATATTTGCTGACTTAAAAATAATTTTTGATTACCTACACTTCTGCATCGGAGATAAAATGATGAGGAAGATCAAAGATTGTTCTTTTATGGTGCTTACATTTTAGTAGTGGAGAGATAACAAACTCTTAAGTCAGATCAGATAGCAAGAATTGTCATAAAGAAAACAGGATAATGGGATGGGGGCTGAGCTGAGGAAGGAGCTAGAACCCTGTCTGAGAGCTGCATGATGAGTGGAAATCATTCTAGGCGGGAAACTGCCAAGGAAAAAAAGATCAGAATTTGACATGCTCCAGGAAAAGAGAGAAAGAAGCCAGAAGGGTCAACAGCACATCAAGAACCCAAGGAAGTAGATGGGATAGATTAGGTAAAAGCCAGAGCAGTGTTTCTCACTCTGACTGTGCTGAAAATTATCTGAGGAACTTAAAAGAAAATTCCAGTGTCTAAGCCCTACCTCCCGAGATTGTGAATTAATTGGCCTGGGGTGGGGCTAGGGTATTGGCATTTTATAAAAGCTGCCTGAGGAATCTCAGTGCTGCTTGGATTGAGAAAGTCTCGATCATGCAGAATATTACAGGCTCTGGTAAGGAGTTTGGACTTTAACTGAGGGACAGTGGGAAGCTGTTGGACAGTTCAGGTTAGGAAATAATATGATCGAATTTGTGTTTACAGGCCTCATTTTGGCTACCATGTGGACAGTAGAAGGAGATCTGTCACGGTGGCTCATTTAACAAATGGAGAACAGGGTAGAAATGGTCAGAAGAGATCAGTTTGGTGTTAAGTTTTGGAGTTTGTGCTCAGAAAATGGATTGGATTTAGGATGCAAGGCAGAAAACATCAGGATTGCCTCAAAGTTGAACTGATTAATTAGCTGAATGCTGGTGCCATTCAGAGGTGGAAGGAATCAGGGAAGAACAAGTTGGAGAACCGAGAGAATAGTTGTGTGCACTGGTTGTACAGAAAGCTTCAGGTTGGTTTTCTCCAAAGACTTAAAGCTTACAGGTATGAGCAGTCAAATGAGATCGACTAACGTATCTTGAGAAATCCTCTTTTATAGTACAAGAGTTTTTTAAAAAAATCTTCCTAAGCACCAAAAGCAGCAGACCTTTTAGTGCATGGAGCCTTTAGTGGTAAGAAAGGAAACTGAACATCCTTAGCTTCTTCCTGCAGTAACCAGGTTGAATATAAGAAAAGACATAGCACACAGTCAGTACCTGAGTTGCTGCAGGTAATGAGTGACAGAGTGCTATATAGAATCCCAAAGGTTAAGAAATCTTAAGAGTGTTAGTGGCACAGTTTGTTGTATATATATGTATATTATACTATACTACTCAGCCATAAAGAATGATAAACTAGCGACATTTATAGCTAAATGGATGCACATCGTGGCCATACTCCCAAATGAAATAAATAGGACACACGTGTAAAAACCGAATGGTTCCTCTGGTGTGAAAAGCTGAAAGTGTAAATTAGGATCAAAATGTTTAACAGATAAGGGGAAGGGGAAGTGAAAAGGGTATGGAAAAGGAAAGAAAGGAAAAAATATGAGAAAAGAAAAAAATGGAAGCAAAGTCTTTATAAATAGGGACAGGTGGAGGGGTTGAAGGGAGGGCAGTGGAATGGGGTTTCCCATTATAAGAACCAAGGTACACCATGTAAAGGTACAAATTCCCAATGGTGAATGTCATCATATTGTATTCCTAAAATGTACCAATAAATTTAATGAGTTAAAAGAAGAAACCTGGGCCAGGGATTTAGCTCAGCGGTTCGGTGGCCTGCCTTGCAAGCACAAGGACCTGAGCTCAATCCCTGGAACCAAAAAAAAAGAAAAAAGAAAAATTAAAAAAATAAAAGAAGAAATCTGTTTTTCCCCAAAAAAATTATCTGCTGTAATATTTCTAGCTCATGTTACAATTATAATTAATTTTCCTATTCTTACCTGTCCCCAGGTGCTCAGCAGTTAAAAACATCAGTATCGTTACATCAAGACCAAGTTATTAGAATTGGTTCCGAAACCTTACTGTGGAGAGCAATATAGAATTTGTTAGAAATTTATTTTTTCCCTGATAGAAAAAGAGATTAAATTAAAAGATGGAACATACAGATTGGTATATGGAGGAGGGGAGCCCATATTTTAAAAATGGTCTCTTAGTTTTTTATATGGGGGGGACTATTTATGTATTTATTTATTTTGGTTACTAGGGATTGAACTCACAACTTGTGCTTGCAAGGCAGGCAGCAACACCATTGAGCTAAATCCCCAGCCCCTTGTTTGTTTTGTTTTTGTTTGTTTGTTTTGTTTTTTAATGCACAGGGTCTCTTTTCATTTTGAGACTTCCTGTTAGTAAAGTTTTGATAGACTCAGCTGAAACCCTGGAGACTGTTCGTGCTGGTCAGAATGGCTGAGAGAGAAGGTTTACCAGAAGGCTTCTGAAATGCCCACAGCCCCATTTAGGGTATTTCTTTGCTTTTACTAAAGAAACTCTAAGTGTAACTGCCTTTGAGCGAAAGGCAAGAGAGTTCAGAGTGTACAGCTCTCTGGAAAATGAGCAAGACCTGAAATTCCTTAATAAAGAGCTTCTCAAGTTGGCTGAAAGCCAGTGAGGTGGTATCAGCAGCCTGGGAGATGAGGTGAGATGAGGTTCGGCTGTGAAATGCCAAGCTCTGTTGCTTCCCATTTTCCCGAATGAGTCCCTCGTGGTAAGTGAAATGGAGAACGTTCACTGCCAGCCCACCTGCTCAGTAACACATTTTGTCCTCCTTCCCTCACAGATAACTGCAGTGACCTGAACTCAGAACTGCAGAGAGTGCTGACTGGGCTGGAGAGTGTGGTCTGTGGCAGGAAGAAGAGTAGCTGCAGCCTGTCCGTGGCCGAGGTGGACAGGCACATCGAGCAGCTCACCACGGCCAGCGAGCACTGCGACCTGGCTATCAAGGTCGGCCTCCCTCTCCCGTCACTAACTCTGAGGTTACAGCTGCTCTCAGATGGCGTATACTGGGGACAACTGTTTCTTTGGAACCAACATTGTGGATTGGGCCCCTGGGTAGAAACAGAGGCTCCAGAAATTTGTGTTGGTCTGAATTTCTTTAGAAAAACACATTCTGCTGATGGTCAAGATCTACTGGTTCTGCCTAAAAAGGACAATTTACTTGGAAACAGTTCAGTCCCTGCTGTTGAGCCATATCATTTTAGTGTTGTTCGTTGTAGAGCACTCTTCAGTTGCACGTTTGCCTTGGAAGTTTTCTTAGTGCTCTGAGGCCTCTAGAATACAATTCCATAAGTTATCCGTCCACGTTGCTAACAAAGGGGAAGGTTCGGGGCCTGAGTCCTCTCATCCCTGCACAGTGCAGCTGAGGCCCAGCCATGCCTTTGACAGGCTTTCAGCTTACTGCGGAAGAGCAAGGTGACGGGAATTCGCTGCCTCTGCACACACTCACCCTGGACAGTGGGGGTGTCAGCTGCTGTTGAGCCTTGGCCCCTGGTGTCTTTACATTATTTCATCGCAGCTTAGTGACCTAGGCCTAACTTCAAAGTCTGGGAAGAACTCATACTAAGAAGCAGTGTAGGCCCAAGTTTCTGTTAACAGGGATCCTGGATTTCCAAAAGGGATGTAAGGTAAACCGTGATGATGTACACTGAAAACACCGCTGGATTCCTACCTTCACGCACCCCAGTTGCACGTGGGTAGGTAATGTGGTCTGTCATAGAGGAGCAGGCAGTGTTGTTCTTTCTCGGGAGTCTGCTGGGCCCTGTTTTTTATTGTAACGTCAACTTGGGTCCTAGCCCCTGCCTTGACCTTGAGAAGAAAGGAAAGGACAAAGGTTTCTGCTTAGTAGCAAGGCACTTGCTAGATCCTGGAGTGAAGCCAAGTAGGAGCAGAGTTTTGAGTTGGTAAAGAGGACCAAGCACAGCACAGAGAAAGTGGCAGCAAGATTTGGATAACTGCACATCCGAGAATGAAACTCATGTTTTCAGTCTAGCCCTCAAGACTTAGTTTCTCATCATATCTCTTCGTCACCTTCCATCTACATATTGTAGCTCTCCCTCCTGCTCAGAAATCAGCTGGCTTTCTGCTTTCTTTTGTAAAAGACAGTACAAGTACAAGTGGAGAAACAGTTCTTGAAAATAAGCAGAACACATTCTTCCCTTTTTTTTCTTAATTTCATGCATTTTTCTTATCCACTGATACTGTTGTAAATGAATTTGTAGGAACTTTCCAAATGCAATACTCTCTTCTTTTTAGTTTGTAGCCATCTTATTAAATACCTGCTGTCTGAGGAAACCTCCACAGTGAGTTGCCTCCTTTCTGTGTCACTGAGGTTTATTTTTGTTTTTCACACACACATCTTGGGAATGAACCTCATTCACACCATCTGAATTCTGATGGGACATTAAAAGTGAGACATGCTTATTGCTGAGTTGGCACATGGGAGGCTGTCATTTAGGAAACTTCAAAGTTGATGTTATATGCAATTTGCAGCCTCATGTTTGTCACTGCATTATCAGGATCACTGACTCACCTGCTGCCTGGCTGTGTGTTCACTATCCAACTCTGGAACGCAAGGGAAGAGGAGGAGCATTTGTGAGAACATGGCAGCCAATCCCACACACAGACCAAAACCCTAGGGAGGGCCTATGTTTCCTTCCTCTGGACCTGTTGGGTAGCACAGACTGATCCATGCCAGAGAGAGGGCCTCATCTGATGTTGGGGAGAGGGCAGTTTGGGGGCAGCACTAATCACAGTCACTGCAGTGACGCGGCTCTGCAACCCATTCTCCATGTCCCCACTCTCCAAGGGAACTGACCTGGCTTTTTTTGCGGCTATGTTTTGCAGACAGTTGAAGAGATTGAGGGAGTGCTCGGCCGGGACCTGTACCCCAACCTGGCTGAAGAGCGGTCTCGGTGGGAGAAGGAGCTGGCTGGGCTGAGGGAAGAGAACGAGAGCCTCACTGCCATGCTGTGCAGCAAGGAGGAGGAGCTGAACCGGACCAAGGCTACCATGAACGCCATCCGGGAGGAGCGCGACCGTCTCCGGCGCAGGGTAAGCTCTGGGCTCAGGGCTCAGAGGAGCAGGCATGCAGACCCAAGGCAACCCTGGGAACATTAAACAGTCCTACTTTGTGACTTGCTTGACCCTTCTCATTATGAAGTCATTCTTTAAAGTAATTTTATAGTGCTAAGGTATGGAGCTAATAGTTCAAAATCAGTTTTCTCTGGAATCCTAAATCTACGTAATGGTAAAATTATATCCGAGCAGCGATTCTAAACTATTCTCCCAGATATGTATGATGCCCCCACAGATAACTAACATGCTCTCTTAAGGTAGTCTAATATTTTTATAATTTAAAAAACACAGAATTTTCTCTTCAATTTTTTTCTGTAACATTTCCTTTAATTCTATATAGTACTTACTGTCATTCTGCATCTAATAAAAAATGTCATCTGTTCTAGCACACACCTATCAAAGTTAAAATAATTGTGTGCATATGCCTGTGAACATGTGTATTTGCATGTATGTGTGTGTGCCTGTGTGTGTGTGTGTGTACGTGTGCATGTGTACATGTACCCTATGTGTGATCCCTCGTGTTCACCTCAGAGCCTGCACACCAGCAACTGAGGACACTGATGTTTCAGCATTGAAATATTTGACAGAGCTGTTAGAAACACTCAGTTTTGCAAAGATACGAGTTTTAACTTTTCCCAGGGACCCACAGTGGGTTTGTGAATTTGATCTGTGATTGGATGGAGGATAAAACAATGAATTCTTCAGTCAGGAATACTGCGGTTCCCTCTTCAGTACACTCTGACTTATGAGACCTCTTTTACTCTCCTCCTCAATCTAGACAATATTTGGTCACTTTCTAGTCATGCCCTGACTGGTAATTTTACACAGGGTTGAATTAGAAGGGGGAAAACTGCATTGAGTGGGTCTTACAAACCTTTGCCATTGTTGTTTCTCTCTAACCATAAAGAACACCTTGGAGGTAGCCTGTTCTTCAGTGAGATCAGTGTGTGTTTATCGTTTGATTTTATAATCCACGAGCAAGTATTCTTTGTTGTCATTATTCATGAATATGGATGAAATTACTATTTTTAAACATTATCAGGTGTGTTCTTCATGTATGACTAATGTCATAATTAAAGGGCCAGCTCTCCTCCCTCATATCTGAATGCTTTTGTCTTACTCACGTGCATAAGCATGTTTTCTGTTTCCAGCTCTGTCAGCTACCATGCTCCGTACTTGCATCAGCAGGTGCAAATCATCCCAGTCAGCAAAGGTTTCTATGGAGAGCCAGCTGAGACTAAGTTGGCACTGAGGCCCACCTGTAATTTCCTGGGTTGCCCTCACTGATCTTTGTGACTCACATACCAATTAAGTGCTTGCTCTTAGTGTTCACATTCTGGTGTTTGAGAAGAAAATGTTGCTCTTAAGTATAATTACATATTGTGGTTTTGAATAAATTTCCTCTCTAACTTGAGTTACTAAAAGCACAGACTAAGCCTTCATTGTAAAAAGCAAAATGCCAGTACCCCTCCCTCAGTGTTTTTTCCAGCTCTGGAGGTCAGTGTTAAGAACACCATAGCAATCTCAGGCATAGTGGCACGAACCTATAGTCCCAGCATTCTGGGAGGCTGAGACAGGAGGATCGTAAGTTTGAGCCCAACCCATGCAACTTTAACAACTTGGGGAGACCTTCCCTCAGGATAAAAAACTCTTTAAAAATTTTAATAAAAGGGTACTGAGAATGTAGCACAGTGCAAAGGTCCTGAGTTTGATCTGTGTAGGATGTAGGGGAGAAATAATGTGGGAATATTTATTTACATTATGTATCAAGGTTCTGGAGCTGTACCTTGTGGGGTTGTAGCCTGAACTCACCAGCAGAGTCACCATGAGTCATTGACAAGTTACCTAACCTCTCTGTGCCTCAGTTTACTTTGCTATGCAGTATGGATAATAAAACTGCCCAATGCAGAAGAACTAGATAATGCTCAGAAAGTGGTCACACAGTGGGGAACATGCTAGATCTAAACCATCACCTGTAATTTCACTGTCCGTTGTTTGGATTGCTTACCTGTCTTCTGCTCTCCACCCTTTCCTGTCCTTTCCTTCCCCACAGGCTAGCAGTTAGGAAACCAGCCTGTTATAGTAGCACAGCTGTCCTGTTCCTTAGGGCTCCCCAGATCCTTTTTCCTAACACAGAGCTGCAGGAAAGTGCAGTGAACTTGTTCCAGTTAGAAGCTGTTCATGCACGTCCACGTGTCTTGGTCTGAGTCCCTCTGAGCATTCGGAGTAATATGTCTCTCCTTTCTGTGAGAGTTCTGAACTAAGGCACTTGCACTTTTTCTTCAGGAACAGTTTGCGGGATCCCTCCAAGGGCTGTACTTGTACTTGGGCCGTGGAAACAGTGAGGTCACTTTGTAGTTGTCGGCACCAGTGTTTCTTCACCCATCCCTGGCCTGTGAGGATGCCAAGCTGGTTAAAGGCCAGCTCTGACTATAAAGAAAATAGCTGAGTCTTATTAGTTGCAAAACTGGTAAGAAATTAGGAAGACAGCCGAAGTGCTGACCTTTTCCCTGATGCAGTGATTCTGATAATAGGATCCAGGTACGCACTTCAGAAGGCTGAAGAACAAGAGAGCAGTGCACCTGTAAAACCTGCAGAGAGAAATGCTGTTGGATTTTTCTTCTTCTGCTTCATGGTCTGTCTCTTCTTCCAGCCTACTCAAAGTTGCCATCAGTAAAGTTAAACTTTCCCAAAACACCATGTAAAGTACATTTATAGAAATAAATATGTGGGTTTAAAAAAATAGATTCTGATATCTCAGTTAGTTGGCAGCTCCAAGGAAAGTTTTACAAAATCTCCATTGGTAGAATGGTTTTCTGCAAATGCCCCAGAAGTGCACTGAGACGAACTGCCTCACCCTCATTAAGTGGAGCTTTTCTGGCCTAGTGAGCCTCACCTTGGCGTAGTGTAGAAATCATCTCAGCCAGCTCCGTGACACAATGAGATTATGAATTGCAATACAACTTAATTGCTTAAAATGGCAACTACTTGGTGAGCACTGCTGCATCTTACCAGTGGAATAGGCTGCTAATAACATTTTTTTTTTTTCTTAATACCAGGTATTGAACTCAGGTCCTTGCATTTGCAAGATAGGCAGTGGAATCACTGAGCTAAATCCCGGCCCTGCTGATAACATTTCTTATCCCACTCTAGACCCCAGTGCCACCTTTCAGGGAAGCCTTCTGCTATTTCAGAAACTCTTTTTTTCCACACTCTGTCTACTGGATGTCTGTCTTTGGCAGCGCTGGCCCGGAATTCCTAATCCCCAACATCTCACTTCCTGCCTCTGCCTAATCTCGCCTGCTCCTGGCTCTCTTGTTTGTGTTACTGTCCCACGTTTTTGTTTTAATGTGGCCTTAGGGTCAGCTCATTACATTCCTCAGTTAAAAGCATGCTTGTGGGTCCCTCTTTGAATTAATTTGTTCCTTCTGTACCTTGCCCCACACTCCGTGTTTGTGTCCTTGTTAGATACACAACGTGTCACGTGTTCTTTGTAACTGACAGAGATTTTCTAGGCTACAGCCCTCTCTCACTTTCCTCGCCTCTGCACTCCCATTGTAAGAACAGACCAGATGCTCTGTGTCCATCCAGTCTGATGCCTCTGAGGGCTCCAGGTGAGCAGCTGCCACGCTGACTGAGCCTGACCGCCGGCCTGCTCCCCACTTCCCACAGCCACAGACCGTGTCTCGGGGCTCGTTCCCTGCATGTGTCCCCTGTAGTCTTGTGGACATTTCCCTGGACTCCACATCCAAGAGTGAGATTTCTGAGGCCCAGGATGTGAGGGTCCTTACCTTGTTTTAGTCATGCTGTTGACTTCTGAGGATGGATCGTCAGTCCATCCACTCAGCAGCAGCAGAGGGTTTCTCCTGCCCTTATATCCCTGCGGTTTTCATACTTTGCTCTGTCTGTCTCATGCCATTGTTTTCTGGACTTAATTTTCTAAGCATGTATCCATAGGAATTTCTAGCAAAGATCTATGTGTAATAAGCCCTTAGTCTTTGAAAGTATCTTTATTTTGCCTATACTCTTTTAAATTATTAATTTATTTTTATTTTTCAGGCAGGGTCTCACTTTGCTGCCCAGGCTGGCCTTGAATTTTTGGGCTCAAGAAGTTTTTCTGCCTTGGCTTCCTGAGTAGCTAGGGCTATAGGTGTATACGCCACCCAGATGGTCTTATTTTTTAACCTTTACATAAAGAAAATTCTACATAATGGGGTAAGGAGACGTTCGCTGTATACTGCTAAATCAGGTTAACGTATCTACTCAGATTTACTTATGTATTTATTTTGTGGTACTGGGAGTTGAACTCAGGACCTTTGCCTTGAGCTATAGCTCTCAGCCCTTTTTTTTCTTTATTTTGAGACAGAGTCTCTAAGTTGCTAAATTGCCTGGGCTGGGCTTGAATTTGTAATCCTCCTGCATCAGCCTCCCAGAGTCCCTCACCAGGCCCAGCTAAACATTTATTGTTTCTTAATGGTGAGCATTCAGAATCCCTTCTTTTAGCTTTGTGAATATAGGGTATATAATTTTTGGCTGTGTTCAGCCTACTGTGCAGAAACACACCAGAACTTCTGGAAGTTAGTGCCTGTAGGTCTTCCTCTCCCCATCCTTAATCTCTCCCTACCCGCCCTTCCTTTGGTAACCACCGTTCTATGCTCAACTTTTTCTAGGAAATCAACATTTTTAGATTCCACAAAAGTGCTGCCCACACTCTTGATAGTTAAATCATTTCCTATAGATGCCATAGGAAATCATCAATTACTCAGTGCCTTAACACAAATGTGTTATCTTACAATTCCTAAAGTCAAAAGTCCATAATGCGTCACATTTGCTAAAACACAGGTGTTGCAGGACTGTGTCCTCCCGGAGGCTAGAGGGGAGAGTCGCCTTTCCTGGCATTCCCAGTGTCCAGGCATGGCCTGCACTCTGTGACCTGCCCTCCCCTTTGCAAAGCCAGCAGCACAACAATCTCAGGGCTCTACCTCTGACACCCCAACCCCCATAGCACCCAGATAGCCTAGGTCTGTTTTACTGTCTCACATGCTGTTTGTCATCTAAGGTAACGCATGCATCTCAAGGCCATGGACTCTGCAGCCCACAATTCAGCCTGTGACAACAGTTTCACTAGATACTAGATTTTTCGAAGAGGTTTTTTTTTTTTTTTTTTTTTTTTTTTTT